CATCATCATCTCGCTAGGGGATGATCCTCCAGAGACCTCAAGGCGACCCAGGTGGCTTTACGATCAAGCTGACTGGAAACTCTTCAACGATAATGTGACGCAGGCATACATTGACCACCCAGCGACGAGCATGGAAGAATTCATGGGGATCATCACTGAGGCCGCCAATATCGCCATCCCGAAGACCAGCCCCAACCCCGGCCGAAAACCCCTACACTGGTGGTGTCCCGAAGCGAAATCTGCAATCAAAGCCAGAAGGAAAGCTCTTCGTGCTGCGAAGCGCCTCCCTAAAGACCACCCAGACAAGGAACGAGCCACCGAGCTTTACCGCTCCAAGCGAAACGAGTGCCGGCAAATCATCAGGGATGCCAAGAAAAGTAGCTGGGAGGAATTTTTGGAGGGGATCAACTCCAACCAAACGGCGTCCGAGTTGTGGAGCCGGGTCAACGCCCTCAACGGAAAAAGAAAGGCCAGGGGGATGGCCCTCCGCCTCCAAAGCGGCCTCACACGAGACCCGCTCACCATCGCCAACGAATTGGCTGACTATTTCGCCTCACTCTCTGCCATTGACCGCTATGACAGGAAATTCATACAAAAAAACCACGCATCCACACAGAGCCTTGGCAACATTGTCATTCCGGAGGACTCTGTACCTACGCCCATCAACGCGCCCTTTCGGTTCGATGAACTAACCCTTGCACTATCCCGCAGCAAAGGGAAATCCGCCGGTCCGGATGATATAGGATACCCCATGCTGCAACATCTCCCGTCCAGCACCAAAGTCGAACTGCTAGACCTAATAAATAAAATCTGGATAGAGAACACCCTGCCAAACGAATGGTCCCACAGTCTGGTAGTCCCCATCCCAAAGCAGGGGCAAGTGGCCTCTACTCCAGAAAACTTCCGTCCGATCTCTCTGACTTGCTGCATTAGTAAAGTCATGGAACGGATGGTCAATCGCCGTCTAATTCGCTTTCTCGAGGACAACGACCATCTCGATCACCGACAGCATGCGTTCAGATCCGGTCACGGCACCGGAACGTACTTTACTGGCCTGGGCGATGTACTCCAAGAGGCGATGGATGAAGAACTCCATGTCGACATAGCGGCCCTGGATTTAGCTAAGGCGTATAACCGCGCCTGGACCCCCCAAGTCATCAAACAGTTGGCTGACTGGGGTCTGGGTGGCCACATTCTACACTTTTTAAAAAATTTCCTTTGCGGTAGAAGCTTTCAGGTGATGATCGGGAACCACCGCTCCTCAACTCGGGCGGAAGAAACTGGAGTCCCACAGGGATCCGTCATAGCGGTCACCATCTTCTTGGTCGCCATGAATGGAGTCTTTGGGATCCTACCAAAAGGAATATACATATTTGTATATGCAGACGACATCGTCCTGCTGGCTTTAGGACGCACCCTCAAGGCTCTGCGAAGGAAATTACAAGCTGCTGTATCAGCCACCACAAGATGGGCCAGTAGGGTCGGCTTTGAATTATCCGCAGAAAAGAGCGTGGTTTCCCACCTATGCCACTTCCGTCATCGCCCGCTACCAACAGCCATCGTTGCGAACAATATTCCAATACCCAACAAGAAGACCATCCAGGTTCTCGGTGTACGCTTGGACCGGGAGCTGAGGTTCGACGCTCATTTCAACGAAATCAAAGCCAACTGCCGCACGCGGCTAAACCTCCTCCGGACACTTTCCAAACCACACCGGAGCAGTAACAGAGAGATTCTACTAAAAGTGGCCAAAGCCACTGTAAACAGTCGATTATTCTACGGGATCGAACTGTTCTGCCTTTCCAACGACTCTCTTACCACACGACTAGCCCCAACGTATAACCAGGCAATCAGAATCGTCGCAGGACTTCTGCCTTCAACACCGGCTGAATCGGCATGCGTCGAACTCGGTGTACTACCGTTTCAATACCAAGTCGCCGAAACGCTGAGCTGCAGAACGACCAGCTACCTGGAAAAGACCACCGGGAATCACGAGGTCTTTCTCCTCAGGGAGGGGAACAGAGTTCTCAGAAACTTGGTCCATCAGGAGCTCCCACCCGTGTCCAGGGTACACTGGAACGGAGCCAGAGGATGGACAGAACCAACCATACGCGTTGACCTTTCAATTGCCAAGCGCTTCAAGGCAGGTAACAACTCCCATGCCATGCAGGCCCACGTAGCGGAGCTGCTGAGAACTAAATATGCAAATTTTCAACACCGTTACACGGACGGCTCTAAGGCCGTGGGGAAGGTTGGATTCGGAGTAGCGGATGTATCCAATAGCTACTTCTTTCGACTACCCGATCAGTGCTCCGTCTTCTCGGCGGAGGCTGCGGCCATCCACTTCGCCACCACGACACCCGCCAATAAACCCATATGTGTCCTAACAGACTCCGCCAGCGTTTTATACGCCTTGAATTCAGCAACATCCAGACACCCCTGGATACAAGGGATCCAAAAGGCCGCGCCGCCAAACACCTCATTTGTTTGGGTACCCGGCCATTGCGGTATCCGGGGCAACTGTGAAGCAGATCATCTCGCTGCCACAGGTCGCTCCGGCCGGATGGCCACCACAGTTGTACCCAGTCAGGACGTAAAAAAATGGGTGAAAGCATCCCTCCGAGACGCCTGGGCCCGGAAGTGGTTCGCAAAAAGGGGACCGTTCCTGAGAAAAATAAAGGACGACACCTCCAAATGGAATGACATTACGAGCCGATGGGAACAACAGGTCTTATCCCGGCTTCGATCCGGACACACCCGAGTGACCCACAACATGGGTAGTGCTGCCTCTTTTCGGAAGTTTTGCGACTCCTGCAACACGATTATGACAGTCGAACACCTGATTGTTAACTGTCCCTGCTTCCATAACATCCGGCTCCTCTATGGAATACCGAACAGCATACGTAACGCCCTCTCTAACGACCCGTCCACGGAAGCAGCCCTAATAGTTTTCCTAAAAGATGCTGGACTGTTCGATAAAATATAATCAATCTATTCAAAATGACTACACTTCGAACATGGACACCACTGGAGTAAGCCTGGATATCACATGACGATTACCTGACTGCCTTCGACAACGACCACCGCCATTCACACCATGATCCGCCAACCACGCTAAGAACCAAGACAGGAACTATAATGAACTCTGTTTAAAAATACTCTGTACTAAGGGGACTCCCTTCTGGAGCTCCACCAACCTCTAGGAGAACCCCTTCTGGGTTCTCCAAAATCTCAACTATGTAATTAGGGAAGCCCCCTTCTGGGGCTCCCGGAGATGAACCAGCCTGCGGCTGAAAATCTCCTAAATAGAGATAATAATAATAATAATAATATAGAAATTCGGGCATTTTTTAGATAGTTCAGATAACTTCTTAGGACTTCAGGGAGCTTCGTATCAATTTTTCAGAGATCTTACTCTTTCTGAACTTCCTGGAAGGATCTTAAGCTTTCTGAACTTTCTGGGAGTTTTGGAAAATTCAGCATAATTTCAGGGACCTACCTGGGAATATTCATAATAAAATGTTGAGGGTATATTTCAAGAAGTTGATAGATGTTCTGAAATCTTGTTAGAATAAATAGAGCTTAGCAACATATGTAACTATGTAACATATGTAATGCCACTGCCAGACAGTGGGAGTTAGGCCAAGGACGAATCTTCATTCTAATCTACGATACCAGATACTAATAACCAGAATAACTTTTTACACATGAGAACCTCCTATCGATCAGAATGAATTGTGCATATGTGCGTTTCTTAATTCCAAAATCTGAAGACTGTTTTGAATAATATGTTTAGGTAATGGGCAGCAACAACGGACAGATAAACTACTTACAGCTTCTATTTATTAAATGCTTGATATAACGATTGCCAGCAACGCCGGCTGGGCGTATCCTATGGCTTACCCTCCCTACTAACAAAAATCCACCCTTCCCGTGACACTTATGAGGGGTCGTAGAGTTCTCTGCATCTCTCTTAAGTAAGTGTCGGACTAACATTCCTCCCCTTTCCCCACCAGATGTAAGGACGTGGCCAGAGCAGCTCTGGTCTGTTGGAGGGAGACACATCCTTTATCTGAGAGGTAGTAATTAATCACAAATTATTATCTAACAGCAACCGATGAAGGTGGGTCTCCTTCTTAACAACAGTTTGGAGCTCGTACCACCTACGACATTGTGCAACCTGGTTTATGCTCTATGCTATGTTATGCTTATACCCCGTTCACATTACAGCCTATATCACGTAATATAGGCTGTCTTGCAATGAGCACTCATACATAGGATTTCCAGTGAAAACTAGATGTATCAGTGCTCATTGCAAGGTAGCGTATATCACGTGATTTACGCTGTAATGTGAACGGGGTATTAGCAACATATGTAACTTGGATGAAGTTACGAAAGAAAAATATATTTACAGAATTCCAAAAGTCTTCAAAATGATCCCTGGAGTGGATAGCATAATGAAACTACAAGAACTTGAATTTGTAATTCCCATTTGATAGACAATGGTTTACAAGTTACACGTTCTGGTAGAATTAATTCTGCTTCAAGGCCCCTACAGGATTGTACCATTATTATCAGGCTAGGCCTAAGTTTTCTGGATATTACCTAGAGTGTGCCAAATGCCTCAGCAAGAGCGTTTCCCCGATAACGAACAAAATCTTAAGGCCGGCGCACAATGCATACGTTTTCGGTTTTTTTGACAGATAATGCATGGGCTATGGTTTTTTGACAACCTGAAAACGTATCCATTGTGCGCCGGCCTTTACTGTGTGACCAGCAATGAAGTGCAGTGGCGTCACCATAACCTCAATCTACCCGTGCACAATCTCTTAAAACGTTAACATATCCCAAAATATAAGTGAAACTAGAAGATTCTGTGCATTTCTAAATCGATTTGAATATAAATGTTGCTAGAAATCACGTTTTTAGAGTTAGAGAACCGAGACTGACGTTAAATAAAGGGACAAAAATTACATTATCCATCTGTTTCTATTTTGCAGATTCTTCTTTAAAACCCGCTGCGACGATATGGACAGCCCAGTGATCCAAGAGGAAATCAACAGCGACAGTGAAATGTTACCCCTGTTTGAGGGCAAAGTAATGGGAACGGTGAAACCGTTAGACTGAACCTTCCATTCTTATGGCCACGCAGGGTGTAGCCCCTACCGCAGCCGTAGAGGCGCCGGAATCGATCGAACACGGGTGCCGACTGATGGACAAGGCAGAAACAACCACCGGCAGCGAATGCAATTCAAAATTTAACTTCGTTCCGTCAAAGCTTACATACCTACACACATACCCCGAGCAAAGCTGGAGATCAAACTGAAATCAAAATGTGCTGTTATGGTGTATCTTTTTTTGATTACTCCAGTGGATCTCGGTTTGTATGAATTAACGGTTAATGCTGCAGAACTGAGAGCATAGTTACACTCTGTTGAATCAAAAGGAAAACTAATCATGCTTTCAATGAAATCAATTTGATAACTGATTTTGATTTCATAACATTCAACTGGATACGGACCTGGCGTACAAGGTTAGCATTCATGCCTCTCACGTTGAAAGATGACTTCAAATCCAACCCCGGACTATCTGTAGTTCAACGACAGGTGAAATTTAATTTAATTTTCAACAAAGACGTTAACAGCAAAACTTGGAGTTAAGTTGCTCTCATTAAAAAAAATCTTGACTCTCTAATGAAAGCTTAATATGATATCAGACCGATTGCGAGACAGTTGATATCAAAATGAGTTTTCGTTATGATAGGCAGCAAACGATTTGCTTTCATTTAATTAACCGGCTTTGCTCGGGACACAAGTTAGTTTGCTTAACAAAACTGCCAAACCTTGTCGGCCGTCGCAAATGTACAATTGCGAATATTTAAGTTTGTTTTAGCAGGATTTGATCGAAACGGACTGCATCAATCTCTTTGTTTAAGATTAGGAGCAGATAGAATACATTTTTAAATTTTTTTTTAAATCAAAAATCGAAGTCTTCACGTGGCATTTCCAAGCTTAAATTAATGTAAAATGTTTTATTTTTTTCCAATCTTCTTTTATTTAATCAGCCGTGGTGGTAAGAATATTGCAACTTAAAAGTGCCTTTTACGAAATCGCATAAACGCGAACAAATGCGACAAAGACGACTTACTGAAACAGTGCACGTTTTCTGTTTCAGTTATGGGGGGGGGGAAAACGAAAGTGTTCAGTTACGATTGCAGAACGATAACACAAATGTATAATGTATATAAAATGAGTAGAACCTCTCTCCACAGTTTTTTTTTTATCAACATTACTCATCGATAATCGGTGAGCGAGCAAAGCAGCGGTTGCATTCAAATGATTGCCATAGAATACAAAATAGCAGAAACCCGTTAGCGAGCAAAAAAAGAAAACCGGAGAGCAGTGATGGATCGCTCTTTGGAGCATCCTTCATTACGTTTTTAATATAGAAAGCTAACGTTAAGCCCAACTAAATTTTCAGTTAGTCCTTCTTAAAATAGATTCAGCCAACTCTCTATCTCGATATTGAACATCGAGTTTTAAAGAGATCGAGATATAGAACAATAATATCCTACAAGACAGTTTGAAGGGACCGAGATAATCATCGACATATAGAACAAAGTGGTCAAATATCGAGATATGGAGAGTTGACGGTAGATTAATGTTAGTATTCTCCCGATCAAACTTAAAAAAATATCGCATCGTTGAGCCACTCTCAATTGTTTCACTGAATATGTACTAGGGTGCACCTTCAGCGAAAATACAGAATGTGGCTCTACGTTGCGAATTTTGTTCTTAGTTCTTGTTCGGGAGAATAATAGCATTAATCTATTGATTTTTATATGGATAAACTGAAAATTCAATTGGACTTAACGTTAGCTTACCATATTCAAAAAATAATAAACGATGTTTCAAAGGGTGATCCATCCTTGCCGGAGAGAATTGAAGTCTTGACAGTATTTTTTTCTGTAATTTAGCTATGTTAGATTTTGTTTTAGATCATGCCGAACGAAGAACGTTTCAGTGTTTTCCTTTACGCAATAGTTTAAACATTTTATTTATTGAACACACTATTTCTTCCTGCGTTAATTGATAAAAAAAATGTGGTGGTGAAAACCGAATGCTAAGTCGACATATTTGTAAAATAAAAAAATCTGTACAGACCTCCAAACAACCCATAGCAAGATGTTCAGTTTTTGAAGCTTCCAATCTTGTTTTGCTTTTTCTAAATTGGGATTATGTTTGAATAAGCATTATTATAACAGTAACTCTTTGAGATAATTATTGAAAAGATGCAAGATGAGCCCCTGAACCGCAGATTGAGTCGTTTATTAGAGATTGACTAAATATATATATTTATACGAAAAGAAACATGTTGATCTTGCGACAAAACAAAACAAAAAGCATGAAATATCCGAAAACGAATAAGAAAATATTTAGATACGTATATATAAACGATAGGAAAAAAATAAAATCAAAAATAATAAAAATTAAAAAAATAAACGCTTGTGAAAGAACATAGTTCTGTGCTGGTTGTAGTGGTGATCACATAAAGGCCATTTGTAGAGCATCACATTTGTATGAATTACAATCAGGTTTCTTCTCTCCTCTCTTCAATAACAATTGTCAAATTTATTGGGTATCAACAAAAGTTTCAACACATTTTCAAGCCAACCATCACTATAGGTTCCACATGGTCGAAAGGGAAAATCATCTAAATCTTATAGTTACAAAAACTTCAAGACTCTAGGATGTGGACAAATTTTCAACATTCTAGGTAATACTTCGAAAAATACGAGATAACCGACTTAGAGAATTTGTATAGATCTCTGACACAAAAAAAATAGTATAGGGTTAACTACCCCATTTCCGGCCTATTAATCACAACCCGCAGTTAGTCTTTCTTAATCTAGCGCAGTTTAGCACCAAACGGAATGTTATTACTGATGGCTTCCAAGTTTATTCACCTTTTCGTACCTACCGTAAGATTTGATAAAGAGAAACCAATCGTTGAGATATTGTCAAAAGTCTTACACTGCTTCTTGACGCCAAACTCGGCCTACGGATTCTAAACTCGGCCTAACGCATTGAAACGCCAATGAATTCACTTCGGCCTATCGGATGAATATAAAAATTGATTCGGTTGGAGCCTTCTTTTGTTTTTGGGAATAATGGGTGCAAACCTTCATATCACGCGTTCCCATTGATTTCGTTCCGTAGCTTATTAACTAAAGTATCGTACCAAACGCATAATTGACTTGTTAACTCTGAAATCATGGATTTATTTGAAGTTTTCTGCTCGATAGGCCCAAAATGGGCGATTAGGCCGAAGTAGTTGTCTACCCTATTAAGACTCTGAGAATTTAAAGTTTCTATATTCTGGACTTGAAGCTCAGGGATTTTGAGAACATTTTCAGATTCCAAACTTATAGAGAACTAAGGAAAAACTGAAAATTCCTGCCTTAAAAAACCATAATCACTTTGTTTTACGTTATGATAGTGTTGGGATATCATTACTAAAGTCACTACAGTTCTTGTTCGCTAACTGGGCTGTATTTCAGTTAAAAAGCAGTTATACCATAGAGGTAACTCTAAGACCAGAAAGATCCCGAAGAAATGTGCTCAACTTTTTGGCTCAGCTCTGGTACTCTCTTCGGTCCCAAGCTATTCGATGCACCCCTCGAAACATAGGAAAATCTACGAACCCCTCATTTCATCTGTCAAACTAATCAGGGTTTATTTGGTGGTTTATGATAGAGCTGTTCTCATCAACTTGTAGAACGGTGAGTGATGAGCATGATTAATTTTTAATCTCAGATAGATTACTTTTTATACATTATCCCCCCGCTCATGTGACAAAATCATGGCCAAACTATCAAGGTTTGACTCGCTAATCCGACTGTCAAATCCATATTAAAAAAAATCAAAACAAACAGACAGCATGCTTACAGCACAAATGTGAAAATTGAGAGCACAATACATTGTGCTACGTGTTTATACTTTTTAATCCGACATTTTCCGGATTAGATTAACGGGATCCGGATTTTCGAGTTGTCGGATTAGTGAGTGTCGGATGAGCGAGGGGATACTGTACATTTTAAAGCGACCAAAAATATCCATTAGTTAAATAATAAATTTCAGAGATTGTTTTTACACGGCGAATGAGAACGACCCAAATTTGAGTTTAGTTCACTCATAATCGCCAAAAGTGCAGGAGCTCAGCGATGAGTAAATTTGCCTCATGTTTTCCCAGGCTTTTCCAGGGAAAAATTCCCGAATTTGAGAAAAGTAAAGATTGGGTCCACTCAGTCTATTGGTACTACTCCGAGACTGAATAAAATTTTCGTCAATTTCCTCATTTTCCGGCAGATTTTTAAGGTTTTCCACAGGAAACCATGAGACAAATTTTACTCATCGCTGAGTTCCTGCACTTTTGGCGATTATGAGTGAACTAAACTCAAAATTGGGTCGTTCTCATTCGCCGTGTATGTGTCCCATACATGAATTTTTGCATTGTTATCAACAAATCTTCTATCTTCTATATATATAAAAATGAATTTCTATCTGTCTGTCTGTCTGTCTGACCCTTATAGACTCGGAAACTACTGAACCGATTGGCGTGAAAATTTGTATACAGGGATTTTTGGGGCCGTGGAAGGTTCTTATGATGGTTCGAGACCCCTCCCCCTTCTGTAAGGGGGGGCTCCCATACAAATGAAACAGAAATTTCTGCATAACTCGAGAACAAATCAAGCAAATGGAATCAAATTAGGCATGTGGGGGCGAGTGTGGGGGTATAAGGAGATAATCATAGGGGGTAGCCCCTTAGATAATAGGGGGGGGGGGCTACGTACAATATAGCATGCTTTTTTTTTAAATCGGCGCATAAACTCAAGCTAATATTGAATCCCGAGCAAGACCGGGCACACTCAGCTAGTGATATATAAATGGAAAATGGCTCTAATGTTGGGCTATGGTTTTAAGATAGGGCCCATCGCTAAATATCTGCTATTTATCAATTTTATCTAGATGAACGCGTCATTGGGACGGTACTAATGGATATATTTGGTCGCTATTAAAAATTTAGTCGATTTTTGAGTTTATATATGGGCCCAAATTAGGGGCATTTAGGTCGACATTTCATCCATTTCCCCTATGTGTCGGACACATATTTAATATGTGTACACATAAAAGCCATGTGTGACCACAAGTACAATTCATTTGACACATAAATTTATTGTGTACTTCTGAGTGGATTCTGTTTATGTGTGGTCACATGAAAAAAATGTGAAATTTCACATGGAAATTCATCAATAAAAATGTGTAGAATTTTTTGTGTGTAGCGTTGCGTGAAAAGCATCTAATCTAAAAAGGGATAACCCGCATAATCGTAAACAATAAAGGGATGATTCACAGTATCATTATGTACCATAAATAAGTATATATGTACGATTCTAGTCAGCGTGTATAAAAATGATAAGCATACAATACCATAAATTGTCCTTTGGATACCATATATTGTATTATGCAAAACAACTATATGGGATAAAGGCGGTTAAGTATAATTACCATTCAATAAGGTCGATATTTCAGAACAAAATTTCAGGTGTAATACAAGACATATAGCTTTTGTATAATCAATTTTAAAATCATAAAACTACCACCCCTATTCTGTATTTCGTTTCGAACGAAATTCTCATACAAAAAAATATTTTTTTGTATGAGAATTTCGTTCGAAACGAATTACAGAATAGGGGTGTACATGTCATAACATTCTGGAATATTTGGATTATTAAATTTGGTTTTGAAAAGGAAAGTAAACGTTATACCATAGAGGTAACTCTAAGACAAGTAGGTCCCGAAGAAACGTGCTCAACTTTTTGGCTCACCTCTGGTACTATCTTCGGTCCCAAGCTTGTCTAATCACCCCTCGAAACATAGGAAAAACCAATAACCCCTCATTTTATTTGTCAAACTTTCAAAGCGAATCAAAACAAACATTGCGTAGTACTAGAATTTCGACTAGAATAGGGTACGTTAATCGTTTGCTTGGAACCAATAGGCTACTAAAGTGGTGAGCCAATTTAAAATCGTTAGTTTCGTATTGATTGTTGGTTATACCATAGAGGTAACTCTAAGACCACTGGGTCCCGAAGAAAATCATTATTATTTTTGGCTCACTCAGTACCAGAACAACGGTCCCAAGCTATTTCACTCACCCCTGCATGTTCTGCATGAATCCACACACCCCTGATGTTATCTGTCAAATTTTCATAGCGAATCAAAACAAACATAGTGTAGTAATAGAATTTCAACTAGAATAGGGTACGTTCATCGTTTGCTTGGGACCAATAGGCTACTAAAGTGGTGAGCCAATTTAAAATCGTTAGTTTCGTATTGATTGTTGGTTATACTGTGTTAATAGTTCATTTAGGTAATTTAACATTATGGTGTATTTTCGTGTTATATTCAAACGATTAAATTCGATAAGCACTTACTATATTCCATATAGTTCGTATTTATTCCTTTTTCTTGGATCAGGGATTATGACTGACCTTAATCTTACAACTACTGACAGCATGATACCATTATTTAAGTGAACTGCTAGTATACTGGTACCATGTTGACAGTAGATGTGAGATCGAATTCAGCCTTAGGCTAACGATTCAGTTTTGTGTAAAAACTAATTTATTCTTAAGAAAAATCCACCTTCAATAAAACAAAACAAAAGTAAAAAAAACTACCGCTTTACATAAAACGTAACAAACAATAGCAATTCATTTTCATATAACATATCAAATGGCACTATTGTGCACAGAACACGCTGTATAAAACATAACATAACATAAGTATACTCGGTCCGCGCCGATCTTAACGGACCATCGCTAGTGGTTTCACACCGGTATAACCGGGTCACGGCCGCAACTGCGTAATCCACCACATCATGCCACTCGTCAATCAGCTGCAAGCACTTCCAGTACTATTTACTCAACTTGAAACGGCCACCACAAAAAAAAAACGAGTAAGGTCCCAAGAAGTCACCGAACAGCGCCAAACGGGTGCCAAATATCTCAAGGTTGCCATCCAGCAGCAGTAGCTGCCACCGATGAGGTCTTCCGGTAAAGAAATTCACAGTTACTGCAAAGGATCAATTTTGCGTAAGAAAAATGTAAGCTTATGATAAAATAGCTTTTTACCTTGTACATTTATTCACCAGCCTTGGTTGATCTTCCCGGGAGTCACTTCATACTGAAGACAACATAATTTATTGAAGATAACAATTTGTACATAATTGAATTAAGTAAAACACTTTTGTTTTACACTCTAGATTTTCAAATCAACATGGCGTGAAGCAACTAGAGCAAAACTAAAATAGGGTAAACTTGTTCACCAATACAAGTACATAAATTATTCCACTTATCATTTTATCATCATATTAGGATTCAGTAGATCCCAGTGTGCGTGTAATTTCGATCTATTGTGATTAATGGAAGATGATTAATGATAGTATTTGGATTATATACCGTATCATAACCATGTCTGTGACAGTTCAGTTAGAATATTATAGCATTTTTTGAATGAGGGTTTTCTCAAAGGGAAAATAAATACTTATCATTGGATGGTATACCATATTTTAAGAATATGTAGTATTGACAACATAAAATGTTTTACCATACGTTACCGATAAGAGCAACAATCAATACGAAACTAACGATTTTAAATTGGCTCACCACTTTAGTAGCCTATTGGTCCCAAGCAAACGATTAACGTACCCTATTCTAGTTGAAATTCTATTACTACACTATGTTTGTTTTGATTCGCTATGAAAGTTTGACAGATAAAATGAGGGGTTATTGGTTTTTCCTATGTTTCGAGGGGTGAATCGATTAGCTTGGGACCGAAGAGAGTACCAGAGCTGAGCCAAAAAGTAGAGCTCGTTTCTTCGGGACCTACTAGTCTTAGAGCTACCTCTATGCTTAAATGGTTTGCTGTACACACAGTAAAGAGCTGTCAAACTATTAGCATCATATTCGCAAGCAGTAATCCTATATAAAGAGGTTTGCAGAAGCGGCTATTTTGAGCCAATCGAGCTGCGAGAACTGTCAAAATGTGAGCCAAATGCGCATTCTGATAAGAAAATATTTAGAGTATTTCTTTTTTTTTTCCTTTGATTTGTTTTCCGTCGATCTTGTTTTCCGTGCTGAGCACCAATGCTACCGACGCCAGGAAGGCAGCTACCTCACCTGGACCCTACCTATCGACCCATCAACTCATGAACCGGGGACCAACAGCTTTACTTCCCTTCCGAAGGAAGGCGTGATCAGAGATGTTATGACTCAGAACATCCCGGTGGCGCCGATTGGGATTGAACCCAGGCCTGCTGGGGTGAGAGGTAATCACACACCACTGGTGCCACTAAGAGCGCTTATTTGTCCACTTTGATGTGAAGTCCACAATAAAATGATAAAACTGTACGCTGTTTTTTCAGAAATATATCTAAATTATTTAGCAAAATACATTTGTATGGAAGACCCCCTCCCTTACTGAGAGGGGAGGAGTATCGAACCATCATAAGAACCTGTCCCGGCTCCAAAAACCCCTGCATACAAATTTCCACGCCGACCGGTTCAGTAGTTTCCGAGTCTATAAGGGTCAACAGACAGACAGAAATTCATTTTTATGTAATATATAGATTAACGATCTTTTACAGAAGCTGGAAGCTCCTAGTGAAAACAAATTCGATTTTCTGAGTTTAATAGTTTTATCAGCAAAATGCATTCGACAGCCATTACTCGTATTCATCAGACGTGTGCTCTTTCTGCTCTGCTTAACTTGGTGAAATATTGTAGCGAAAATGAGTGTAGTTCGTAAAAACACACTTGTTGCTGACTTCAATGTCCTTCCAGTTCGTCCCAATGCGGGAAAAGTGCAAAAATTCTTCGAGAATAATATTGCTGATTGCATCTGAAACTGGACTGTCCCAAAAATGCAAAAAGTGTGCTAAAAGTGCACGTTTCCGTCAAATCGTTTTGATGTCTTCGGAGCACTTATTGCTTGCATCATAAGGAATAAGTGCACCGAAGACACCAAGACGATTAGACCACAGACAAACAGACGTAACTCTTTGAAAAACTTGTTCTTGAAAACATAGTATCTCAAAACATATAACCTCAGTAACGACATCTCTCTGGCTTCTCGCGGAAAACAAGCTTGCTCGCTAACTCGTGAACAATATTGCATAAAAGTTCTATAGAATATATAGAAACGTCAAAGTGATCCGATGCCAGCGCTGCGGCGAGTAGTTCGCGGAACTGATAATATTCAAATCAACCGTTAAATGCATGAACGAAGATACACAATGAAGAGTTACGTCTGTTTGTCTGTGATTAGACGTAAGCTTGCAGTTTTATCACACTTTTTAATAAGTGAAAACGCGCTTATTAGTCCAATTTGGTGTGAAACGCGCAATATTAAGCTTCAATATTCGGACGTTAGATGCATTCAGTTTCATAACGTCCGAAATTGTGTTTTGTTTTTATTTAGATGATAGACAATGAAGTTGCCTTGCGCTATGAAAAGGCGCACAACTATAAACACGCGTTTCTCTGTGTGAAGAGTGAGTTCAAAATCCCGATATATGTGGATTGTGAAGCAGTGACCGTTCGAGTGCATGACCTTCCTCTGGCATGGCCACAAGACACTGTTATGAACCACATGGCAAAGTACGGGACAGTGATTTCCAGTCGACATGAGAAATTGAAGCACTACTTCCCAGGATTCCTGAGCGGTGTTCGAGTTTTGCGAATGCGACTCGAAAGTCGAAAGCGCCATTCCATCATACATCACGGTCGACAACGAAACAACTTTTAAACTTACGACAAGCAACCAAAAGCGTGCCGCCATTGTGGCCGAGCAGCACATCCCAAACAGAAATGTTTGGATGTGGCCACATTGAACAATAGCACCGCTCCAGCAGCTCCACCAACCGAGGGGGTATTCAGTCTCGCTAACAAAACCAGCCAACGACATCGAGTCAATCATCTCCTGCTTTCACTGGGTTCTCAGCAGAAGAACAACAGCGAAACACCGACAATCCAACCGAGGATCATCACACTTCAAACGTTGAAAGCAACGACGAAAACTCTAGCACCAGCTTATCAAGCGCAACAAAGGATTTCATTGAAAATACCAACAAACGCCGGCTGTCGAAACACAAGGAGAACGAAAAAAAGAAAGTTCGTACTGATCAGTGCACCCAGAAGACTGGTCAGCAAACAGATCGTATAGATGAAAATAATGCATCTTATCAAATAGGGGATAATACGTTTTATTTGAAAAATAATAGCGATAAGGGATCTAATTGTTAATAATGGTTATCGGCCCAAGCAATGCCTAATAAGCGAAGGGGTCTTATAAATAAACGTAATAAAAAAAATCAGCAAAATGCTGCCAAATGTCAGAATTTTGGATTGCTGAAAAAATCAGTAAATAAATATTGCTGGAATCATTACTGATTTTCAGTCTTATATTGTCATTTTGACAAATGTTGGAATTGCTGGAAAGGTCAGCAGCATTATTTTGCTGGTATGTATGCTGATATTTCATCAAGTCTAAAATCAGAAAAAATTTGCTGATATTCAGCGATATAAATTTGGTGTGCTGCATTTGCTAAATATGGCGGAGATTATTTAAGTGACCCTACATTCCGGTAGCCCCTCGCGTGTCGTCATCAACGTTCATCAGTAGTGCCAACATTGTCGAATCGATACCTTCCCGTCATCTGTCAAAATTTGACAATCCGCGTCAGCGAGCTGTCATCGCTTCTTTCACCGAACCTTCTTTTCGATTGTTCCTTCCATATTGAACGATCAGCCGCGTGTTGTACTCTGATCAAATGTAAGTAGTTTTATTGTGTTTTCCGGTCGGAAAATCTCCTAAATTGCTCCTAAAGTGAAGGGTTAAAGCGGTGATGACGGACAAACGTTGAATCGATAGGGATAATTCGTTCAAATCTGCGAAAATAGCGTTTAAATGATTTGTTTACTACGACCTGTCGCTGTTGCTCGGAGCGGAAGTTTTTCCTACACGTTTCCTTTGAGGAGCTATATAAAGAATGAACTTTTAGTTAAACATTGTTAAAATAGTTAACACAGTTTAATTCTAGATGATTATATTGCAATCGAACGGTTTAATCCATCACTATTAGCTCTAACAGGATCAAAAAGTATACTCAATCCTAACCTCAATTTCCATCCGATTCTCAGAAGCAAAAATGGCACTGCGTCCAGCCTACAAACCCAAGATCGTCAAGAAGCGGACGAAGAAGTTCATCCGCCACCAGTCAGATCGCTATGACAAACTTGCCGTAAGTATCCTCTATTTCGCATTTTTTTTTTTCAAATTGTCGTTTTGTTTACAAAATGGCTTTGTTTATACCGGAAAGTGGTAACCGTTCTCGTTTTTCCTTGCAGCCCAACTGGCGCAAGCCGAAAGGTATTGACAACCGAGTGCGTCGTCGCTTCAAGGGCCAGTACCTGATGCCCAACATCGGCTACGGATCGAACAAGCGCACCCGTCATATGCTGCCCAATGGCTTCAAGAAGTTCCTGGTCCACAACGTCCGCGAACTGGAGGTGCTGATGATGCAGAACCGTATCTACTGTGCCGAGATTGGCCACGCCGTGTCGGCCAAGAAGCGCAAGCTGATCGTCGAACGTGCGAAGCAGCTGGCCATCGCCGTGACGAACCCGAACGGTCGTCTGCGCTCGCAGGAAAACGAGTAAGCTCTGGGTTGGGTTTTACCAAGTGGAGTTTGTTTGTTTATTTCTATTGGCGCGTGCAGAGAGGGTGGGTTGTAAGAGCTCTCCTTACACAACAACGGTACACATACGCTGGAATTTGTATGTAAACTTCTTTAATAAGCGAGGAATATAAGATACAACAAAAAAACGCTATCGGACTGGGCTCGTGCATTGAATAGAGAAATCCTAATCTTCAAGTTTGGGGAAATTGATTATCAATAGCTAACATAAAAACTACAAGCACCTTTTAAGGAAGGCCAGAAACGTATGCATTATTTTCAAAAGTAGATCAAAACTAAGGCGAGAAGGGAATCTTCACCAATATGTAGGGGAAATGAAGGTTTCGGCACTTATTTAATTATTATCTTCGTGGGAGTAAATGAAGTCTTAGAGCGCCGATTTGTTGCATGAAGGTGCATAATATTCCAGAGCATCGTTTTGCAATAAAATAACACTAAGACTAAATTTAACCCCTGGCGATAATATGTAAAGAAGTTCCGAAGCTGTCATTTCCCCTATAAGAATCTAAATCAAGTTTGACAATCTAAATTATCACCCACCCCTAATCCCGTTTTCTATCAGTGATCACAACGATTTAATTATGATATTTTTAAATGCTTAAGTATGCCTCACTCTTACTTGATACATATTACGACAGACACATGTAATGAACTTAGCTTTATTTTGTAGGTAAAGACAAACGTTAAAGAAGCCATGAAACTAACGTCAAATGCTTTCGGTGGAATAATGGACGAAGCAAGTGTTGTAATCTAGATTAAAGTGGAAATATTTATTGAACCATTTTCATAACCGATACACATTTAGAAGTTGATCTGACACCGGAAGTGTTTCTGCAGCTTGTTGGCCTTCACTCCGACTTGCTGCATCAGCTTGGCCTTTTGCCGCTTCATCACATGCATATCCCGAGCGTTACGGGCGGCTGCCTCCTGCTGCGTCGAGGTCCATCCCAACGCACGGTACTCAGCCAGCACTTTGTGCAACCGTTGGGTCGATTTTTTCACCACAACGGCTCGGTTCGGATTGATTCGTTGCTTGTAGTACCGCAGCAGGGAACGGTGGCCGATGACAGCTCCCGATGGCAACACCATCTGGAAGTCATCACCGTCCAAAATCTGAGGTGGCTCAAGATCCTCGTCAATGTCCATTTCGTTGTTCTGTGTTAGGTGAGGGAACAGAATTATAAACATTGAAAAATGTTACAACAGAAAATTCAAACTTACATGATCCGGATAACTTGTACTATAATCGTAAAAGTCAACGTATTCCGCCAAAGCAGCACCTTCATGTAGCATCTTGCAATGCCCTTTCTCCACCATATGATTCCTCACGGCGTCCAACGAGTAGAAGGTTCTACCCTTCTCGTTGCACCAGATACAGATAAAGTCCCTGCAAATCTTTTCGGCCAGATATCCCAATATCCCCTCGACATCTATGCAGTACTCTGCGTCCGGAATGAAGAACGAATGCGTCACACTCATGTGTTTGATGCTCTGGATCAAATCATCACTGTGATGGTTGCAAAACAAGCAATCGTTATTTTCAATCGGATTTTCCCAGTCCTCTTCCCATCCGTCGTCTTCCCCTTCGGCATCCTCGTCCATGGCTTGATCCTCAATGATGAACTCCTTCTTCGGTTTAGTAGACTTTACCGAAATTTCTTCTTGTTCAGCGTCTCCTTTCTGTTCTAGGAACTCCTTCAGGTTGTCCTTATGCTTCTTACTGTCCAGATGGTTATCGTGAGCATTCTTCGATTTGAATAGCTTCTTGCAAGCCTTACAGTATAGGGACTGATCTTCCTGGCTAACAGCATCTGCGTTCTTCTGCTCGCTCACGCGTTTCTCGAACTCCTCGATACTCACCGGAGGCAGCTCTGCGATCTTGCGTTTCAGATTGTACCGATGCCAGTCGGTTTTGTAGTGCTCCCGTTGCATTTCCGCATTCTGGAAACGGACGCTGCAATTCAAGCACGTAAAACTGGTCGCGTTAGACATTTTGGAAGCAATAATTTCTGAACAATACACAGGAATTTCAACGTGTCCTTCCACGGACGAGATTGTTGTGAAATCGCGTGCGAATTTTTCTTCTTTGACGTCTAATTTGGCTCGTTATCTGATTCACGCTCAAAGGCGCCGTGCTTCCCAGTAAAAAAATGGGGATACTTTGCTAGTACTTCGTCAATATCGTTCGAAATTACTCGCGCACAGCTCTGTTTTATAACTTGCAGGGGCATCACTATACGCACCGCACTGTCTCGCGGCACAAAAATGCTGATCTGTCAAAATCCGAAAACAAACGCCGAGTGACCAAAGTAGCGGAGCGGTTTTTGCGTTTGCAAATTTTATTTTCCTTAAACTGCAACACCATCAAGAATTTATACGCTTCTCCCCTTCGAAAATGTTCTACCATGTAAGTACCGCACTTCTGAAAACCCACAAAATCCTCATTCACCGTCATCACCCCCGCTCATCCAGATATCACTCGAGCACGAGATTTTGCTGCACCCGCGCTACTTCGGACCGCAGCTGATCGAAACGGTCAAACAGAAGCTGTACACCGAAGTCGAGGGAACCTGTACGGGCAAGTATGGTTTCGTGATAGCCGTGACCACAATCGACGACATCGGTTCCGGTCTGATCCTGCCCGGGCAGGGTTTCGTAGTCTACCCGGTCAAGTACAAAGCAATCGTGTTCCGACCGTTCAAGGGTGAAGTGCTGGATGCGGTCGTGACACAGGTCAACAAGGTGGGAATGTTTGCCGAGATTGGGCCGCTGTCGTGTTTCATTTCGCACCACTCCATCCCGGCCGATATGCAGTTCTGTCCCAATGGTAATCCACCGTGCTACAAGTCGAAGGACGAGGATGTGGTGATTGCTCTGGAGGATAAGATTCGACTGAAGATTGTCGGTACCCGAGTGGACGCGACCGGAATTGTAAGCGCTTGAATTAGTTTGTCTTACAATCTCTAAAATTCATTTTTTTTTTCAGTTTGCAATCGGAACTCTGATGGATGATTACCTGGGTCTGGCTTGCAGTTAGGCTTTAAAACGATCTTACCACGATAAGTATAATTTTAATTCAATTGCTTCGACGCTACAGTTTAGGGAACGAGGATAATTGTAATTATAAGTTCTATTATTTAATAGTGATTTAAACACAGCTAATTTTGAAAGAAAAGTCCAACACTGAACAACATGGATAGACATTCTCTTATACCTTCTGGCAAATTTCTATTGCTGATTATTCATAAAATGTATAAGTCAAGTAATAAGCAGACGCCTTGCAAAAAGTTAATGAATACCAACCCCTTTTGGCCCTTCATACAGCAGTATGTTGAATTCAGAATGACGAAATTTGCTCTTGCTGTTGAGTGGACCCGCATGCAGGACGCTAGGATGGTGGTACATACATACATACTTACATTATTGTTTAATATTTCTTTGACAGTTCACGGTGGTAAATAATAGCATTTGTTTATCGGTTTGCAGTTCACTAAAAGAGAGCGAGTCCCACATCGTATCGTTTATTTATTCCGTACAATATCGTGCTTGGAATGCTAACAGAATTTGATCTTTAAGGGGGGCATACACTACTAGTTTCATTGGAATTTTTAGGAGCATTTGATGGAAGCTGATTTCCAGGGAGCACTTAACGAATGCTGAGAAAAATTCCAAAAACGATTTGCAGATAATTCTACGGGTTATGCGTAGAAAATACTGTTAGAATACAATACAATGTGAAGATATTTCAAAAAGTATTCTGGAAAGATGAAGTAATAAAATTGGGTTGTTAGTGGAATGCTTAAATAAAACTGCAAAAAGGTTATCTTCCATTTAATTCCACTTAATTAATTTTGGTATCCATGACAGATACGTATTTCGACTACAATGTGCAGTCTTTCACCCCTATTCTGTATTTCGTTTCAAACGAAATTCTCATACAAAAAAATATTTTTTTGTATGAGAATTTCGTTCGAAATGAAATACAGAATAGGGGTGTTTATCAGTGTCATTCCCACTAAAGACCTATCAAAAACCTAACCACTGATGAAGACTGCACATTGAAGTCGAAATACGTATCTGTCATGGCATAGCATAAGCGATTGCACAAATCGTGGGGGCTTTATAACTCTATAAGACCCAGCAGGACCCGATGAAACGTGCTCAACTTTTTGGCTCAGCCCTGGTACTCTCTTCGGTCTCAAGCTAAACGATGCACCCTTCGAAACAGGAAAATCCACGAACCGCTCATTTATCTGTCAAACATTCATAGTGAATCAAAACTAACATAGTGTAGTACGTAGTACCATAGAGGTAACTCTAATAGCGAATTCGTTTATTATTCAGTTCCAACCTGGATCGGGTATCAAGATTGGGTCTGCTTGTTTTCTGACAAACGTCAGTTTGCTCGTTTGTTTTTAAAACCTAGATCAGGTTGAGGTTCGCACTGACAAAAAGTTCGGTTTCGCACTGGGTTGGAACTGGTTCCAACCCCAATAATAAACGAATTCGCTATAAGACAAGTAGGTCCCGAAGAAATGTGCTCAACTTTTTGGCTCACCTCTGGTACTATCTTCGGTCCCAAGCTAATCGATGCACCTTTCGAAACATAGGAAAATCCACGAACCCCTCATTTTATCTGTCAAACTTTCATAGCGAATCAAAACAAACGTAGTGTAGTACTAGAATTTCAACTAGAATAGGATACCCTAATAAAAATTGTATGGTTAATTTGCTTAACGACGTGTTCTGGGTATCATCCAAACCATTTGTGGAATAGTTCAATGATTTGGGTTATCGTTCGTTTATGGTTATTTTTTATTAGGGTACGTTAATCGATTTGCAAGAGATCAATAGGCTAATCAAGCAGTGAGCCAATTTAAAATCGATAGTTTCCGGTTTTAGGAATTCAAGGCAGGCTCACGCAAACTAGCATTACTGTCGGGTTGGGAAATCTTACTTTACCTGATGGCGATGTACATTTGCGTGGGCGAGCCTGGACTTTTAAGACAATATAATCAAAAGAAGTCCTTGTTTACAAAAACTGTTACGCCCTAATTCCATAGAGGTAACTCTAAGACAAGTAGGTCCCAAAGAAACGTGCTCAACTTTTTGGCTCACCTCTGGTACTATCTTCGGTTCCAAGCTTGTCGAATCACCCCTCGAAACATAGGAAAAACCAATAACTCCTCATTTTATCTGTCAAACTTTCATAGCGAATCAAAACAAACATTGCGTAGTACTAGAATTTCGACTAGAATAGGGTACGTTAATCGTTTGCTTGGGATCAATAGGCTACTAAAGTGGTGAGCCAATTTAAAATCGTTAGTTTCGTATTGATTGTTGCTAATTCCAGCTCTATCTTAATATTGGAACTGACATCTGATTGATGTCCTTGACAAATGTCCAAAAAATTCTCTTTATAAATTTAAGATGATCCTAAAAAGGACCGTTTTGTCGTGATGGTTGAGTAATGCTGAGCTATTAGGGTGTTATACCGAGGGGGGCGACACATCTAGATGCTCAACAAATCTCACACTAGCGAATCAATCTTCGAAAAATCTTCTTTCATTTGTCGCATCTACTTGCATCGCTCATCATCTTTTTGCAGGAAATCTTCAGAATCGTCATCAATCTTCTTTCTATCTATTCAGCGTGCGCGCAGCTCGCCACAGCAAAACACAATCTTTTTTGCATCGTAGATAAAGTCGTCCCCCTCGTGTTATACACAGATGAGGCTGGTGAGTTGTATCAACAATCAATACGAAACTAACGATTTTAAATTGGCTCACCACTTTAGTAGCCTATTGGTCCCAAGCAAACGATTAACGTACCCTATTCTAGTTGAAATTCTATTACTACACTATGTTTGTTTTGATTCGCTATGAAAGTTTGACAGATAACATCAGGGGTGTGTGGATTCATGCAGAACATGCAGGGGTGAGTGAAATAGCTTGGGACTGCTTGGGACCGTTGTTCTGGTACTGAGTGAGCCAAAAATAATAATGATTTTCTTCGGGACCCAGTGGTCTTAGAGTTACCTCTATGGTTGTATGTTGTTTGGAATGAGGGTGACGCGCTTGGCATAGGTGGCCCACAACGACTCACGAGCTACTGATTCCGATCAATAGCGGTGTAGCTTCTTCCTCCTTCTATGGATGCTCATGTGGGCTGCAGCTCGCTGCTTGGAGAACAATGTTCAACGCCACGCGCCGAAAGTACTGGTGTTGCTGCTGCTGATGCCAACGACCGGACACCACAACACACGGTGATTGGAACTGAATCCGATCAGCAGTTGAGGGTAGCCTTGATAGCTAGCTGCTTGCGGGGAGCCTTTCGTTGTGTACTGGAGAACACCACCACTCACCACGCGGCGATTGGATAAACACCGTTTGGTGAGACCGGATGGAATTCAACTTTAAAATCTGTGTTAGGGAAATCGGTTAATCGGTTACTGGCCAACCGCCCAAGTAACATTTCAAGTTTTATCGATGTTTTAAAGCATGCTACAAGTCTAAATCATGGTCTTCAGAACCCTAATAAAACCAAAATTGTTACTTGGGCGTGTTCCAAGCAGAAATTCAAGCAATTCTTGAATGCTCTGTAATATATACATTCGAATATCTGCATTATATCTGATAGTCAAGCAGCATTAAATGCTTTAAAATCAGCAACATCCAACTCAAAACTCGTATGGTAATGTGCAATGTCACTTCAGAAATTGGCCTGTCAAAACCACTTCTTCTTCTTATTCGCATTTCAAGCTTATTGCTTAGTGCATATAAGCTTATTGCGTCTCTCAAATTAGTGTTCTAAATGCACTTCCACAGTTATTAATTGAGAGCTGAATCGATTAGCTATCGTTATACCAACAATGCTTTTACCATAGAGGTAACTCCAACAATGCTTTTACCATAGAGGTAACTCTAAGACCACTGGGTCCCGAAGAAAATCATTATTATTTTTGGCTCACTCAGTACCAGAACAACGGTCCCAAGCAGTCCCAAGCTATTTCAATCACCCCTGCATGTTCTGCATGAATCCACACACCCCTGATGTTATCTGTCAAACTTTCATAGCGAATCAAAACAAACATAGTGTAGTAATAGAATTTCAACTAGAATGGGGTACGTTAATTGTTTGCTTGGGACCAATAGGCTACTAAAGTGGTGAGCCAATTTAAAATCGTTAGTTTCGTATTGATTGTTGCTTATACTGTCACGCTGTCGGTCGGTCGTGCTGGAACGGACCAGGATTTCTCTATCGTTTTCTACACTCTACCAAACCAACCACGTTAGTTTTAATTATTACGTTTCCGCATTCATTTTTACTTGTAATACATTTCTTTTTTTCATCTCAGTTTTGTTGTTTCCTTCTTTTCCGCTTGATTTACTGGTTTCTTTTTTTCAGCTTTTTTTTTCATTCGCTTCTTCTCGCTCCTCGCGCGCGATGGAGAGAGTGTGTGTTTGTGTGTATGTGTCACGTCACTTCAATGATTTGCAATCTACACAGTGTTTTGTTTGTTTTTTTTTGTTGTTTCTTGCATCCTTCTTCCGCTTCTTCTTCTTCTTCTTGCTCGTCGCGATTTCAACCGGTTTTCTATATTTTTTGTCTTGTTTTATCTTGTTATTATTGCTACTTTTCGGTTACAACACTTCCACTTCCCTGCGTCTTCTTTCGCCCTCTGCCTTTGCGCGCGTGTGTGTTTGTGTGTATGTCTTTGTGTGTACAACATTCACCTGCGCGCGAGCGCCGGCTCCAACTCAAAATCAATAATATGCCATTTTGTTCTAAATTGTTTTTGCTTCTGGCTTATTCTCTAATTTTATGTGATTTGTTTTTTGTATGTTTTCTTTCTGATTTTTTTTTTTACAAATGTCTTATTTTTTGGTTTTGTCATATCATTGATTTTCTTTTTTTTTCCGCTTGCTAGTCGACTTTATTTTTTGCTAACTTTAAGTTTGCCGCATTCGGTGCATGCCTTCCCGGATTCTTTTTGTTTTACTGTGTCTGTGTTCTTCCTCGCGTCCTGTTCTGTCTTAGGTGTATAAATATATTAATTTAGGGTTGCATTACTCATTGTATGTTTTTCTTTTCTTTTCATTATTATTATTTCGATTAATGATTAAAGGGCTTAGAGTTTG